AAAAAAAACAAAGACTTCAAAGTAGATATAGAACTGAGAAGAAGAACTAATTTTTATTCACTGATCTGTAGAGCTATTTATAGAGCTCTTAAACATAAAAACAAACGGAGATAAACTTCAACAAATTAGAGATCCTAAAAATCCTCTCCACTAACCATGACTTATTCCACTAACAGTAATACCAAAAGAATAGGAATAATGAAAATAACCAATAAGGACTTAGTCTATGATGAGCTGTCAATTATGAATCAATAATCTTTAATCAACACAGCGATGTTGTCGTTCATGGGTGAATGCCCGGAGGTACTGTTCCAAACCCCGATTGGTGACTTCCGTTTGCCCGTCTGTCTGAGGGTGGTATGCGGTGCTAAATTTCAATGTTGTCCCGCTCAATCGCATAAGCTCTCTCCAAAAAATGCTCATAAAAACGGAGTCGCGGTCGGAAACAATGTCTGCGGGAAAACCATGGTGTTTGACGACCACCTCGAGGAACAGTTGGGCGACCTTGGGAGCATCATACCCCGTGCTGAGTGCCCCGAAATGGGCATATTTGGACAACCGATCGACGACAACCATGATGACAGTGAGGCCGCGGGAGGGAGGTAAACCCGTAATAAAATCCATCGAGGCGGATTCCCAAACCCGGTCTGGGACGGGCAACGGCTGGAGCAGGCCCCCAGGCTTCTGAGTTGAGTACTTGGTGACTTGACAGACGGTGCATGCCGCAATGAATTGACGAACATCCCGCCGCATATTGCGCCAATAGACGACGTCAGCCAATCGCCGAAAGGTACGGTCCACGCCTTGGTGACCCGAGAGAGGGGTGCTGTGAAATTCGAGTAGCAACTGGGCCCGAAGAGGAGGTGACTTGACAGACGGTGCATGCCGCGATGAATTGACGAACATCCCGCCGCATATTGCGCCAATAGAAGACGTCAGCTAATCGCCGAAAGGTACGGTCCACGCCTTGGTGACCCGAGAGAGGGGTGCTGTGGAATTCGAGTAGCAACTGGGCCCCAATGTCACATGAGTATCCAAGGTAGGACTATAAACCAAAATGTCGTCGAAGAAGACGATAACAAACTGTCGCAAATGAGGACGGAAGATCGTGTTCATAGCGGCCTGGAACGTGGACGGGGCATTGGTTAGCCCGAATGGCATGACCAAAAACTCATAATGGCCGTCATGAGTCCGAAACGCTGTTTTGAAAATGTCCGCCTCATGCATCCGAATCTGGTGATACCCGGAGCGGAGATCCAATTTTGTGAAATAGCGTGCATTCCCCAATTCGTCGAACAACTCATCTGTGGTCGGGATCGGGAAGTGATCGGGGACCGTCGCTGCATTCAAGGCCCTATAATCAATGCAGAACCAAAAAGTGCCATCCTTCTTCCGAACTAAAAGTACCAGGGAGGAGAACGGGCTGTGGCTAGGCCGAATCGTCCCCTGTGTAAGCATCTCCTGGATTTGTTTCTCAATTTCCGTCTTTTGGAAGTAGGGGTATCGATATGGGCGAACGTTGACAGGCTTCGCCCCCAGGGAAAGGTGGATGCGGTGGTCCCATACACGGGCTGGTGGCAGACCCGACGGAAGGCCGTAAAGCTAATCATGGGCCTGGAGAAGTGTGCGAACAGCCGGCGGTAAATCTGCCGGCAGTGGCAGACCCTCTTCTATTGGGGTGATTTCCAGCGGCGTCGGGGTGAGCTCGTAGAAGTCGTATGACCCCGCGTCCCGTGCTAAAGAGCATAGCCTCCCATAAGAGATAGGGCGAGGTTCGGCCACGTCCCCTCGCAAAGTAACAGTTTCCCCTTGCCATACGAATTCCATCGTCATGGTGGCGTAGTCATGTGATACCTTCCCCAGCGTTTGAAGCCACTGCACGCCCAATACAATGTCCGGACCATGAATCGCCAATAAATACAAATCAACATCAAACAGGTGGCCTTGTAGCCGCAGAGGAGTGCCCGGGCATGAGTACGAGCAACACAACGAATCACCATTGCCCACATAAACACGAAACAGCATAACCGGGTGCAAAACCAAAGCCAAACGCTCCGCCACGCTAGGGTGGATAAAATTGTGTGTACTGCCGCTATCTAACAAAACTTGAACCACCGCCGAGTTGACAGAGCCAACAACTTTTAAGGACCGCGGGCTAGGACTCCCGGCTAAGGAATGCATCGTGGAAATATCTCCAAGTATGACCGGGTCATCGTCCACAACTTCGGCAGAGGGGGGAGGTTCCGAATCCAAATCCTCCTCGTCTGGGCCCATTAAAAGGAGGAATCGGCGCCTGCAGTTGTGCGTCGGGGTGTACTTCTCATCACAGAACCAGCACAACCCTTTCTTGGTGCGCTCCGCCTTGACCGCATCAGTGAGACGCACAACGGGCAAACCCGAAGTGGATGGGCGATCAGGGGGTTTAGCCGTGAGCTGTGGGGGCCGAGGGGTAGGAAGAATACCAGGGTTTGATGAGGAGGCAGCGTGTGATGGTTGAGGAGTCCAATTGCGGCGTGCGCCATGGGTGAAGGCCGCGGCTGACTCCGAATGGCAAGCGGAAAGTTCCCGAGCTAGAGCAAAGGCGGCCGGTAGGGAAGTGGGACTACGGAGATTAACCTCACGTTGAAGAGGCCGTTTCAAACCCGCCACAAACATAGAGATTAATGTGGATTCCGGAACACCCGACACCTTGTTAAGAGTGGCCTCGAAGGCGGACTGATATTCCATGACGGTTGTGGTTTGGGTGAGTTTGGAAAGCAAGCCCACATAATTCTCATAAAAATGGGGATCAAAACGTTGCTGGACGGCCAGAAGAAACTCCTCCCATGTAGCCGTACAATTGTTAGCTTGATAATAATGAAACCACTCGGACGCCGGATGGTCGATGAGCATGGCCACCAATTGAAGGCGTTCGGGTTCCGGGGTTAAGAAGTAGTCAAAGTATTTTTGGATGCGGAAGATCCACCCGGTAGGATCGTCCCCGGTGAATCGCGGCGCGTCCACTTACATGCGCGGCACCGCCTCGGACGTCGAGGAAGAATAGCGAGACGGCGGCGGTCTCCAACCCATGTACGGCTGTTTGGTGTTAAACCGCCCATCCTGGTGGGGCTGGGAAGTGAGTTCCGCTACCCGCAGTTTGGTAGCGTGGAGCTCCTTACGCACGTCCATGATGGCATGCATGACATCGTCCAAAGTGAGGGCGGAAGTAGGGGTTTCCGGGGTGGCCGTAGGGTTGGACATGAGTACGGCAATGAAAGCACCAGTTGATACACGCTACTTTTCACGTGTACTTTCCGGCACGGCAAAACCTACGGCGAAGGAGAAGAGAGCGCCGCAGGGCTAGGGTTTGAGGGTAGAGAGAGAGACGTAGGGGTTAAAGGGATGTTGTATTATGATGATCATTAAGGAGAGTAAATCACCTCCTTAAATAGAGAAGTTCCCCCAAACCTAATTAAACTAGTTATCTAACCTGTCGGTTCAAGAAAAAGCATCGAGGTAAAGAACCGAAAAAAAACCCTCGAAAGGACTTATAATTCGTCCACCTAAAAAAATCTAAGTACAAAATAAATATTAAAAATAATTAAACATAATCATGATATCTGCGTGGGGGTCCCACGCTCCTCTTCGAACGCCTCGTTGCAATTGTTCCTTCGTCGTGTGGCCTCGGGTTTGTGTCCGTATCAATGATAAAACTTGTTGAGGACCGCAAAAAATACAAAAGGTTCAATTAGGACTCCATTATTAAATTATTCAAGAAAAAAAGTCAAATGGCGACTAATTTTATTTCAATACCTTTAGATGTGGCGTCAACTCATTATTTACACGAAATGTTAGCCAAAATAATGTCACGTAATTAATCATGAAGCTAACTCAGTTGGGATGGACTAGCAATGTGAGATCCTATAATTTATGAAATAGTGGCAAGCAAAAAATTTTGGGATTAATATTTTATTATCAACCAAAGCTAAGAGTGTTAGTGTGAATTTTCCAAATAAGGCTATTTTGTTTTATTTTGCTGGGATGAGTTAACATATTTATTACATGAAAAATCATTTGCGCCTGTGGTATATATATGTGCATTGCTAAATTGCTACTAGGATCCAATTTCATCCTCAATTAGTCAAAATTTAGATCAAAATATCAACTTAATTGGGGATGCGATTGGGAAGGCAGGGGGGAGGTGGGCCGGGAATCAGGAGTTGACCGTTTTCGGTATCCAACAGAACAAAATCATTAGTGTTCAAATTGACCAATGTCATAATATAACAAAGTAACAAATGTAACATTGAAAAAACGGCGTGATTCATTAGACATTCGTTTGGAATGTCATAGCATAACTCAAGTCTCCTATATGGTGATATAGTTGTAACCATTGCCCCCTGTCCTACCCCATCCCTTGGCTACAATGACCACTATGACCAATAGGCAAAGAGGAGGAGGTTTGCAAGGGTAGGATCATTATTTCTATCAACGGAGCACCGTAGCGGACATGGGTCATCCTATTACATTGGTTTCAATGTCACAGAAACGGCGCCAATTTAAAAAATTTGTGGCAGATAAATGAATAAACCAAAAGGGAAAGTGTAAAAGGAGGTCAATTTGTTTTCCCAGTAAAAGTCTGCGGTATTTTAGAGACAACATTTGGTCTAGAGATGGATGAGTTGGTTGTAAATTGTGGCAAAAAGTCTCTCCCTTTATGTACATCAACTAAACAAAGTCCCAACTGATTCCCACAAACAACATAACTCGATGGTCTCTAACGCTTAATAAAAATCGAGCAATTACAATAATACTACCCCCTAATAATAAGCATTCTTGATTTTCACTCCAAATGTTGTGCTCGTTTCGCAAGAAAAACTCTTTCACAAGCAGAATCAAAAGTCAAACTCTCCCATTGCCTGAAAAAAACAAAAAAGAAACAAGCTTTTCATCTTAGGCGTCCCTGGGTGGTGCGTAATGGGAACACATTGTTGATGCATTACCTTGTTAAAGAGTATATCTTTGTTGTTTATATGCATTATACCGTCTTTCAAAGTGCACTTCCACCGGCTCTTAGTGCGCGTAACCTTTGACAAAAACATGAGTAATTGCATCATTCTCATATCCAATAGTGTACTCCTCCGTCCTTAAAACAAATCACATTTTCCATTTTGATTGTCCCAAAATTAAAGTCACGTTTCTCACATTTAAGGAAAAAATGTGTGGCTCACAATATTTCTCTCTTATGAACAACTTCTAACCACCCACTTTTTAGTTTTCATCGCTTTTCTTTAACTTCGTGAAATCAAAGAGAGACTTTGTTTTAGGAAAGGAGGGTGTATAACAATGATGTTAATAGGGAATGGCATGATGGAAGATAAGTAGACCTGGCAATCGGGTTAATCGGTTTGGTTCCGGTTCGGGTCTTTTCGGTTCGGGTCTCTTTCGGATATATGTTATAATCGGTTCGGGTCGGTTCGGTTCGGGTCGGGTCAGTTCGGTTCCGGGTTTATTTCGGTTTGATTGGTTTTCGGTTTTGGTTCGGTTTCAGTTCGGGTTTATATTGGTTTGGGTTTGTATCGGTTCGGGTTTATATCGGTTCGGGTTTATATCGGTTCGGGTTTATATCGGTTAGGGTTTGTATCGGTTCGGGTTATATCGGTTCAGGTTTGTATCAATTCGGGTTGTATTGATTTGGGTTCATATAGATTTGAGTTTATATCGGTTTAAATTCATATTAGTTCAAGTATAATGTAAACACATACTAATAAATGAATAATATCACATAATAAATTTAGTTAATTTAGTTAACTATAATTTTTATATACTTTCTATACAAATATAAAAATATTTTAACTTAAGTTATAAAATGCAAAGTAAAAGATTTGTACATGAAATTAGTTACATGGTTTGCACCCATAATTTAAATATGTTTTTTTAGAAACACATCAACATATGTAAAAATATATAGGTAATTCGTTTTCTCCAAATTCATTTGATAAATGAAATATTAATGAATTTGATCAATTTCGGGTCTAATCAGTTTTGGGTCTAATCGGTTCCGGGTTTAACCGGGTTCGGGTTTAATCGGTTCGGGTTTAATCGGATTCGGGTCTGAATCGGGTCTGAATACATTCGGTTCAGGTTCGGTTCGGTTCGTATCATTTCGGGTGTTCGGTTCTATTTCGGTTCTTCAGTTTTCGGGTCAATTCGGGTTCGGTTCCGGGGTTCCGGGTTATTCGGTTCGGGTTTTCGGGTCCGGGTCAGTTTTGCCAGGTCTAAAGATAAGTAACACCAAGTTGTACACCCAGAGATATTTTTTTCTCCAAAAGCTAATAATGAGGGACTAGATGACTATAGTTGCATAGAGGAAACAATTGGTCATGCTTTTCAAACAAAACCAACAGCTCTTGGAGATGGAAACAAGGAAGGATAAATACCTTATCAAACTGAGCCAAAACTAGATGAGATGTGTTGAGATCCTCTCCTTGGTCCACATCATCCAACTCATCGTCATCATTTTCATTCAAGGGGTCTTCATCATCGTCATCCAGGTCATTTTGATAAATCGGAGCAGGAGTAGGTGCTTGCATGTCTAAAAGTCAGAGAAAGGCAGATCTACGATTTTAGGGGGAGAACAGCAGCCTAAGCAGATGATATGAAGTATGTATAGAGACAATGGGTCTTGCATTTACCTGGTCCGGGTGTATTTGCTATATTGTAGTCATCATTGATGCCTCCTTGATAATTATAGATCTTTTAATATAAAATGAAGAGACCGTCAAAATTTTGCCAGACAAAAAAAACTGTTAAAATCACCAAGATTCTAGCATTGTGCAATAAAAACTGTGAAGGCAACCTACGCAGTGAAGGAAAAATAATGTTCAAAAATCCCTAAAACAAAGCGGGAAACATTGGAAAGAGAAAACTGCATATGATGATCTGATAGTAATAATAACGGGCTAGTTCAATTCACCACTAAATATTCCAACATGATGCATCTGGAACAATAAAGGGCATATTTAGAGGTTCCCATTGAATTCAAACATGTTATCTGGTGATAACGGAAAAAGAAAACATACATTAGGTGTTGTGAGCATTTCATCATAAGGATCAGGAATGGGACCATCCAGCTGAGGGATTCGTGAAGAACTTGACCCCTCTATCACTATCTCCTGGCCAGCAGAAACAAACTCATGTTGGATTGTGCTACACTGATCACTCTGAAAAGAACCACTTTGCAATTTAATATTTATTTCAGACCAAAACAAAGCAAGTCATTTAAAAATAGAAAAAATGCAAGCTGGAGCATGTGAAATACCATAAACAAAATAAAGAGAGCATTCATGAGACCAGAAATCAAAAGCATAAGGTAAAGATCCTCAACTTCATAGAGCTTCTTACAAGGATTGAGATAGCTATTTGAAGACTTGAGGCATGTTCTCTTCGTCTGATCTCATTGGTTTTGATCTGAATTTATTAAGGTCTAATGTAACCTAATCTGGTTTGATTTGATCTTATTCTAGTTTTATGATCTAGTTTGGTTCCAACAAGAATAAGTTGAAGAGAACATACCCTTATACCCCAGGCAATACGAGTCAAATTAAGTCAGATTTTTCATAATGCTAATAATGAAAACAAAAATTCGGAAGGTACTTTATACATGAAGACGAGAAATTTCCCATATAATAAATAATCTCTCCGTCCAAACAAAGATTCCTTATTTCCTTTTCGGGACGTCCCAAAAAAGACTCCTCTTTTATGGAAAATTTTGAGTAGCTCACAATCTTTCCCTCTCCTCCGCATAATTTTCAACCACGCATTTTCACTTTCCTTAAACTTTGTGCTAGTCAAACGGGGAGCCTTTTTTGGGACAGATGGAGTAGCAAAAAACTGCTGCAAATTTAAAATATTAGCAATGAGAATGTTAGCATCTCAAGACAACACAACATAGTCCTTGCCATCCTTTTTTCCAACAACAACTCATGTCTAATCACCTTGCTCTAACTCTTCTTAGAACAA